TATTTCTGGTGGATGATGGTACGTGTTAGCTTCACGATCAACTCATCGTTGATATATCTTTATATTGTTCGATTGAGTGGAATTATAATTTTAGGAATGTCTCCAGAATTCTTGATGAAAAGGGAATACAAAATTCTTTATTTTTGTATAAATTACTAGAGTTAGGAACAGTGTTGTAACAACCTAGATCTAAATGACAATCACATGGAGCTATCCGTAGATCAAAATCCTCACCTACAATTATCAATTTTGTTCTAAGACTGTCGCCATTAAAATTCGGAGAACAATCTTCCTACCGAATTCGCTAAAGCTCTCCTTGGAACTACCCCTAGATCAAAATCCTCAACAATTATCAATTCTGTTCTAAAACTGTCGCCATTAAAATTCGGAGAACAATCTTCCTACTGAATTCGCCAAAGCTCTCCTTGGAACTACCCCTAGATCAAAATCCTCACCTACAATTATCAATTTTGTTCTAAAACTGTCGCTATCAAAATCCGAAAAATCTTCCTACTGAATTGACTAAAGCTCCTCATTGGATAAGCTTGGCATGTCGCAATCTTTCAAGCTGTTCGCAATAAACGTCCCCATAGCGATACTCGTCGTTCAATATCTCAGAAAAATCTGCGTTCTTCATGCTCTCCTAAAGTCGAACAACAAAGACTAATGTACGACAACCAAATACGCCCCCGTACGAGCGAAATAATAACAGAAATATTACGAGTAGTGCAGTCGATAACGATACAAAGCACGAATTCCGTTTGTAAGGAATTTCTCCAGGGTCTCCTCCTCGCTGAACATAGGCAAACGATAAATCTGCGGAAACAACAGAGGTATCCGCGAAGACGCATGCTTTTATGTAGAAACTCGTTTAGATAATAACGTTACTAGGAACATGTTCGGGTTTTATCGGGCCCGTGGTCAAAGAGGGGAGAACGATACAGGTAGCAAGGAGATTCTTGTACAAAGCACGTATAATTTCGAAGTTCCGTATCTTCTCTGGGAGATACGGTGGACAGGATTGCACGCGAGATACAGAAATGTCGACGAGATAAAGGGGTCGATGCGCAACCAGTCCTCCAGGAAATTGCGCGATGTAACGTCGCGACGATTTTCTAACCAGTCCGAAAGCAAACAAACAAGATTCCCTGAGACGATTAACGCCGCGAATCGGTGGAATGCAAAATTAATCGCGGTAACGCGACACGAGAGAGACAACGGTTCAACGCGCGCTGCCAGGGCGAGCGAAACATTTTGATTCGGTGCAACAGCCGCGTATAAAAGCGCATTACTGTATTAAACATTTTGCTCGATAACGACCCATTCAATCGTTGTTGTCGCGAACGGAACAAAACAAACCTCGCGGCCGCGTAAAAGCAACCGTTATGAAAACTGCGCTGCTTTTATCGAACCCGATGTTTCGTGCGCCGAATTTCGCGAACCTCTTCGCATAATGCATCGTTGAAATTGAGTTTCGCGATTTCGAACATTATTTGTGGAGTGGAATTCGTTATTTGAATGTTGTTAAGTTGAGAGCAGGGTAAAGTTCCTTTTGCTTTATAGAGTAATGCGTGGATACTCTATTTTTAACCGACTTCGAAAAGGAGGAGGTTACTTAATTAGACATGTTTTTTTTATGTTTGTGCAATTGTTCGATGGTTAAACGATGATTTAACAACGTTTCAAATCCTCGAGTTAAAGATCCTTAACTTTGTATCTCATTTCATTGTCAACATTTGTAATTACAGGTGCAGTCGAATAGAATATTTTCGCAGTTTTTAAATTGAGTATTAGAGAACGTCGATGAAATTTCAATAATACGAATTTATATTTCAATCAGTTGCAACTAATCGCATCGCGCTTTTGAACACGCGACGTGAAATTCGAGACGCGTGATGGATATTCTGCACAATTTTCAATCCGATAGAAACGCGGGGTTGAAATCGAAGGTCTGCGAGAGATGCAGTAAACCGAGTAATTAAGAGAACTTTATTACGTTTATTATGGATTCGATACGAAAGGCTTTCGAAAATTTCCATAAAACGCAATGTGGATCGTCGATAAATGCTGCACGCGTAATTGAGCTCTCGAGCAGCTCGTATTTCAGGAGGAAAAAGTTACAATATCCTCGTTCGGACTCATTGGATTTTTTCTCAGCGGGAAGGAACGATAGTAATTTTTTCTTTTTCTTTCAACACGTGATAGTAGGGATTGCAAGTGTTTCCAACGATGAAACATAGAAGCGACGGGCGACATACGATGACGAGAGGTTCGCGAAAAATATTATTGATGAGATCGGTGCTGGGTGAAAAAGCTCCAGAGGGTGTGTTATCTGTACATCCGGAGGGAGGAAAAAATGGCGACCCTGGATCACCGGTACCGTGAAATGAATTCTACCGAATATGCGAGCGCGAAAATATATTTTCATCGCGTGAAGATATACACAATACGCATCATAAATAAACCATCCACCGACCGTTTCGATGATCCGAGTAAAGGAGTAAAGGATCGCGGTGAAATTTCGCTTTGCGTCCACTAACAATGCCAATGAAACAAATTTAAATAAATGAGCGTGATGGTTTAATCCGCGCGTTGCATTTGGCTATGACTATCTTGATTTTTATAGGTATATCAACTCTGGATGTATCTTACTTTCTTTCCATTCTTCCATACTTTCTCCATAAGAGAATTGTACATTAACGCTTTATTTATAGACTTTAATTCCAGTGTTTAGCTTCTGGAATTTATTCACTGTGTGACTGGTTGTCTACTTGCAACGTTCAGTGTTTGACAACAGACAGCTGTTGATATACCTAATAGTATAAAGGAATTAAATGTCAGCCTAAATTCATATATGGTAATGCAGAAAATTCTTTTTTAAATTGCAGACTGTTTCAGTAATGCTTCTGAGGTGTACTATAAAGTGTTAAATATAATCAGAAAGATTTCTCAGGTATGATTTTAAAATCAACCTACCGAGACTATCAAGCTGGTAGACAAAATATTAAATATAATCAGAAAAGTTTTTCAAGTGTATTATGCCATCAAAACCTATCAAATAAAATTCTCAGACAATATATCAACTGCTTTACGGAAAAAGTACTTGACCAAAGGATCACCGGAAGTTTAATTAATCCTACAACTCCAAGATATTTCACATAAACCTGGAAATATTCGATGTTTCGTACATTTTTTTACCCACGCTGTATTTGATTCGCGCAGAATAAACCGCAACCCGAAAAAAGGAAAAGGTGGAAGCTCTCGGAACTCGGGAAAAAATCCACGCAAAAGTTAATTTAATAGCTCCCGTGCATCGATGTCGTCGCAGGGTATCAGAGATCGTTAAACTTTATCGATTGCGGGCTGCATCATTAATCAGACAAGTTCACCGTGGCAAGAGACGGAGAGCGAGATCGCGCGAGGTTGTTTGACGTTGAATATTTCACGTCGTCGCATAGTTGCTGCACATTTTCGCGCTGAAATACGTCCATCGGTTGAAAATCAAATCCCTATTGTACGGAGGAACGGGTTACAGGCTGGTAAGCGCTGCGCACACAAACGGTCTGGATGGAAACGCGCGATGGCTTTTCTGTGCGCGAGCGATTCTCGTTAAGATTGCAATACGCGGACCCGAGACCGTGAAAAATGAATCATTTTCGCGGGATAAACGGGTCGGATATAGCACACGTCGAAGTCTCCGGGCCAGATTCGGACTGATCCGCTTATGAACGCAGATTTCGAATCTCGAGCGACTGAATAACCGTGAGAACGGAGAGAGCTCGAGCATTAATTTAAAACAAACAAGCACCTACGCGTCTCTGCGTCCAAGTTTCCCGATAATTTACGCTGCGTACCTCGAAACGGGCTCTAATGGTCGCGTTTATAAGCGGATTTCCAAGCGTCGCGATAACATTCGTTCTTTTGTCCTCTCAGCGTTCTCCCCCTCGAGCTTGTTTTCATCGACCACCGAGGGGATCGTTCTTCCGGGGCGTTTTACGTTGTTTTTCTTACATAAAAAAAGGAAGAGGTTGACGAGCTGTCTCGCACCTCGTAAAAGAGTGTCAGTGGTAACGCGCGGCTCGGTCCCTCGACGTTCGCCGTAGTCTATCCACGCGAACTTGGATCTAATTAAAAGTTTCTTTCGCAGTTTTCGAGCACTCGACGGGTTAAAATGATTAAGTCGTGCAACAAAGATAAACGTGTAAGGCGAAGTAGCCGTTAGGAATAATTTACGTCTCAATGGATCAGGTATCCGCGTTTCACCTTTCGAGGCTCGTGCGTGACTGTGTCACACGTTATGCGGGGTGAGTTCAACCGTATCTCTCTTACCCCTCGCAATGGAAGGAAAAGGCGGAGGAACGAGCCGGACTGTTCAAGAATGTTTAACTTTCCATAACGTCATATTTTCACCGAGTGCGACTGGACCATATTTTCGAACGAAATCGTGCGATCTCTTTGTACATTAATTCTCCAGGGTGTACAATGCGTTCTAAGGTTTTATAGAGCGAGGCAAGGGAATGATTTGGAGGGATTCGAAATTATTCAATTATTAGGAGACAAAGTTTCTAGGCAAGCTTTATGTATCGTAAAATTTAAATCTACAAGTGGAGTAGTCGTATCATGGAATTCAATATTTTAGAGTCTTCTTTAGCAGGTTCTTTAGCTCTAGAAATTTTTCAATTATTAGAAAACGAATTTTCTAGACATGCTCTATACAGTATTTAAATCTACAAGTGACATAGTTGTATGCATCATGGATTGTCGCATTTTGGAATCTTTTTGACCAGGTTCTTTAGGTCTCCCTATGAATATACATATTTTATATTTTAAACGCGTGGAGAAACTCGGACGAAACATATAAAACAGTGCTATTGCACTTGAAGAGAGAGGGACGTAATAGAAAGTCCAACATTTTTTTACTCCTTCTTTTCTATCTCAAATACCACGTTACCACTGGTACTCTCAACTGTTAACCTTAGTAACAAAATTTAAAAACTCACCGGCGCCGAACGGCTGCGGCCCATTTTTGTCATCAGTTGGAGAACCTTCCAGGCTTCCAGGTCCGCTGTCTGCGCCTCCAGTAGCACTGGAAGAAGGCAATGGTGGAGGACTACTTTACTACGCAATTTGTACTGTCCCATGTACACAGAGAATCGCCTACACAAGCAACCTTATAGGTTAACAAAGTATACAATATTTGAAAAGCATCGACAAGCCGTATAAGTATAATCAGTAAAAAATGTTACCATACATATCCGTTGCTCTTACGACAAAATTGATATCGCAAGAGTAGGTGCACTGTATGGTATGAATGAGAGTGAAGAAGAGGTGCACGGTGTGCGTGAATAGAAGTAGGATGCGTCGTCGTTGTATACCTAAGTATGAATCTTTGCAACACAACTAAGTATAGCAACTGCGATACGATATACACTGGCGCGTGTATGTGTCGTATGAATGAGAATTTTGCTAGTGCCTAACTTCTATGTTCTTGCTCAACTGAACGTGTTCTACTGTGGCTTAGTATGCTCTGCTATAAAGAATAACATGCGCTCTTAAGATTAGTAATTTCTTCTATCGATTTCAGCTAAGTTTTCTATTGCTAGAGGTGATCGTGTTTGTATATGATTAGAAGATACGTGCTAGTCTCTGTTTTCCCTGTTGTGTACTGTCCTAGGATTCCTGGAAATCAGCCTGGAACGATTGACAGTTGAAACGACTGAAAATCTGGTCTAGACAGATGCTCAAGACTCTCAATTTATTACGCTTCTTTCGGGGTAACGAGGTACATAATAAAGTGAGGTCCTCGAGAACGAAAAAGTTTCATTAAAGCATGCGTTGGAACCACTTTGAATGTTATCAGAGATGGAACATGTATATTTTTTTTTTTTTTAATCTTCTGTTGCATGAATTTTCATTTCATCGTTCGAAGAAATTACTTGGTATTTCTTGGTTGTCTGTACGAATGAATCGATACCTCGAGGATAGATCGAGCTATCAGAAATTCTCGAAAGATTAAATATGCAACGCAACAGAGGGTTAAGATATTTATTGTTTGGGATGGCCACTATTTCCAACATTTATCGTGAAATTAATATCGAGGTAAAAAGAAAAATTAATCAGCGACACCGACACGTTATGCAACATCGACTTCTGCAATATCTCAAACGGAGCAAACTGACACTAAACGGTGAATAATGAATAAAGTTCAGGTCGAAGGACAAACTGCAATATCTAGACAGCATCGAGAGGGGAACGTTAACGTATTATGCCCGAGATCGTCTAACGTCCGTCGCGAAAAAGATTTCAATTATTCTCGAAGAGAATGCTCTGGCGTTCACGGGCGAGCTACGGAGGGGAAATAATTTTGATATGTACTTTCTCGAAATAGAATGTTTCGTTCTGGATAGTTCGCTCGTTGCGAATATTTGTCTTTGGCCAATATCTCCTTTGGTGGGAATAAGCCGATAAAAGGTATTGCCGTGGCCTGATTCTAGCGTTGACAGATTTCGAGAGAAATGACTTTGAAATAGAATTTTCGCTACCCTCGTGTTTCACCCTTGAAACTATTTATCTTTTGTTAATAGCCTTTTTGCGACATCAAGCCTCTAGGAGATATTACAGTGGCCTGATTCTACCCAACTACCCCCATTGACGCTAATTCGTTCGGCGTTCCCTGTATGCATCGATGGCTGCGTCAATTAGCCAACCCGCCTGCTAAGTAATGCATCTTTTATCATTTTTATCGGCTAACTATCGAGCCCTTCGTTTAAACTCTTTCTTTGGACAAAATATGCAAAGGCGTTAGGGAATATTTAAGACAGCTTCTGACGCCTCTATGTCGACGTTTCCAACAATACTTTCTATAAAAAAAAATATAACAGATACAATAAGAAAAAGACAAGACTGTACGGTTCATTTATACCAATCTTTATCACAATTTACTCTAATTTTGAATTCAGATGCACTGTAGCGTGGACTGAAATTTAGGTCAAAAGGTCGAAAGTAAACGATGTCAAAATCGTCCCGGATATTCCGAAACCTTCGTGCTTTACACTGAATCTACGTCGAATTGAAAAATCAATAAATATGTGCGTGCCATACGATTTCGTTTATGTTATAAAAAGTGAAATTTCTGCCTGCGATCCGAGAGTAACTAGTGAAATTGAAAACGCGGAATATTTCCACGAGCCATAGGCGCGTTAATGCCGACTAAATATTTAACGCGGGATATTTACATTTCTGTCGAAATTTTGCAGCAGAATTTCGCGCGTCGTGCATCAGTTTCCCCCGTGTACATCGAATTTTTTAAAAGTATACATATAGGAGCGATAGGGGTCGAATAAAATGGGATGAAAAATGACGTCGGCCGGGCAAGTGGTGGCCACGTGGGGTTAAGCAGTTTCGACATAAAAAATCATATACTTGGTGGAAGGAATACGGTGACGTACTCGAGGTACCCTAAAGTGGTAGGTGAGACGATACATCCTCGAGAGACGAACCATTAAATATGAATTACAGAACCATTACATCTCCAAGCTCGGAACTCGTATTTCGATACTAGGCGATCAAAGTGCAAACACTTTGACATTTTTTAAATGTTTAAGAATTACACTTGCTAATTTCTTTGCGAGTAAAACCGTGGTGGTACAATTCTTCAAACGTTGATTTGCGCTCGCAGGCGCGATCAACACATGCAAATGTGAAAAAAAAAAAGATTTCTAAAAAAAAAAAATATATCGTAAACGATGACTTACACCACAACGGTTTTCATCCCTTCACGTATAACTACAGTGGGAACGAATAGGATGAAAGTTTTCACCTGGCACTGGTAGTACCGTGGCATTTAAAAAAGCTTCCGGCCACGTTCGTATTAATGCTCCATAAAAAAGAGCCGCTATATCGATCCGGGTTTTTTCATTCCAACGATGGACGATTCGTATCCGTGTAAATATTCGAACTGTTTACTTTCAATATCAAACTGTGCCCGGAGATAAAACTTTTTCCCACTGCATCATGGGTGGCGCCAGGGTTAACGAACCGTTGTTAAAATAAATATAGAGAATTCGTTCCTAGTCCCTTGGATTTCATTATTCCAAATATTCATAGACAAATTAGACAAAGTAAACAAATCGACCATTATTCATTTTGCGTGTCGAGCATTTTTCGTTGGAGTCACGTTCAGGACTCCCAGATGTTACTGAGATTAATAAATGAATATTTCGAGCAAAAAACTATGACCGAAAACAGACACAATTTATATTTGAGATTTTTAGCTCGTTTATGTTCAAGTTTATCACATTGAAAAGCTATGGAAACGTACGTCGTCTATATCAAATTGAACGAGTATAAATATCGAGCTATGAAAAACCCTGTTCTTGAAAAATATAGACATCTACGCATGTACCATTTGTAGGTCCCGAAAATGACTCTGAAACAAAATCAAAACATAAAATAGATAATGTCTCGATTAAGACTCCCAAACATTCGAGGGTGGTATCGTCTTCGCCCTCTAATCTTTTCCACCAACCACGTTATTTCTTCCAGCGAGTATACGCTCACATCGAAAAGTATCTTTTTACCTGCTGGCGTCATCATCTTTAGCCTGTTCCGCGGCAGCTTGAGAGTTTGGTGCTACCTGGGTCTCGTTCATTCCTCCCGATGCTTGAACTTCGCCTTCGCCACCGTGAGCACGGCTCAATCCCGGTATGCCACCGCTAAACCAACCCGTCATCTGAGTCTTCACGCCAGCCAGCATTTCCAGCTTGCTGCTGCCGCCTTTGGTTGGGCTGTTGAACACAGAAAACATGTTTTCAATCTACGTGGACGCGGCACGTTAATTAATTGACGCGGGTAACGACGATAAAAATGCGTTTCTAATGCTCGTGCGAGAGGAAAGGGAGGAAAAAAGGTTGCGCGATAATAGCCTACAAAGAACTCTACGCTTGCAGGGAACGCAGGGTGATTTGAAAAAATATGTTTTGCTTTCGAGCGTGCACCGTTTACAGCGAAAAAGAAACGGCACGTTACGAGGGGTTCTTGCTTTCGGTGCTGAAGGAATGAATGAAGAAATTTATTCTGGATTGTAAGTGAACGTTGTGAATAATATTCGAAGGGGCGTGGTCGAGAAACAAGAATATTAACGCGGTGCGTACTGTGGAGTGTTTTAATTAAAGGACATTTAGGACAAATTTATTTGCCGATATCGAATTTTGTAGAATTTATTATTATGGAATGCATGAATTGATTATTTTGTTCTTGTTTCTCGAGGTAGTCGTTAATTAAATTACTTCTTTCTAATACTAGGGACAATTCGTTTTTGTGTCGTACTACTGAAACAACTAATTTAATTTACAATCGAAGGCTAGCTAAAGTGCACTGTAACATTTTTGTGATACTTTTTATATTATAATAAAAACGAACATTTGGAACATTCCTAGGCACTAGCTACTAAAACTGCTATTCACCTATGTTGCTATGTATTTTTAATAAAAGAGTATGTTTGCAAAAGCTTGCGATATACTCTGCCATCATGCTCTGAAAAATATCATGTACTATCTGCGTCCACTATCATATTCTCATGAGAGAAAAACATACTTTATCTATTGGACATACTGTTTGTGAATACCACGTAAATAGAGAAGGATTAATTTAGGAACGACATAATTTCATAGTTGATTGGTCAAACAAATTACGTACGTAGTAACGATATTACTAGATTGATTTGAATTATACATGTTACCGAACGAAACCATGAATGGTACTTTCAGGTTCCTCGATTCGCGTTAATAGGAATCGACATGACCCAATTATAAACTAATAAACTTAATGCACTTTGAATAGACCTCGCTCTATTTTATATTTCCGCAGAACGAAAATACCACAAAGAGCGTCCACCTCTCGAGGTTAATAGCATTAACTCAAAGAATAATTAAGTAATCGAAATGAAAGTACGATTCGCTATTTCTCAACGAATGAAAACTCGTTTAGCGTCTCGGTTGTGTTCTTAATTCTGTTTACAACCGAAACACATTCAAGTTTTAATTCATAAAAGGAACATTTCCCTTGTAAAATATGAAACACTAATCAAGGTGACGACAAGACATAATATAATATTTAATTTAAACAAAGCTCGCGATGAATTAAATAAATATTATCACGAAGCGTCATTGTTCGAATACCCACGAGGGGTAAACGTACGTTTCAACCCTCCATTGTTTGTTCCCAGTTCGTTGTTCCACGCCAGATAAAAACTTGTTTTCAACGATGGTTATTGAACCGGATACGATGTTTAATTTCAATAAAGATCGCGATGAATTAAATAAATATTATCACGAAGCGTCATTGTTCGAATACCCACGAGGGGTAAACGTACGTTTCAACCCTCCATTGTTTGTTCCCGGTTCGTTGCTCCTCGCCAGATAAAAACTTGTTTTCAACGATGGCTATTGAACCGGATACGATGTTTAATTTCAATAAAGATCAATTTTGTACAAATAAAATATTATTGCGTTCGAACACCCGCGCAGGATACCCTGTACGTTTCAACCCTACCCGATGTTTGTTCCGTTTCATTGCTCCCTATCGCTAAAGTCGAGAGAAAATAGGCCATAAGGGATTCTCCGGTAGTGATCCGATTTCCGCCTATTCCCTATAAATATGTTACGAACGAAAACAGGTCAACGTAACCGTGCGGTGCGCCAAACGAAACATTGTCGCAAACTATAACTCATTTAAGAGTAGCACGGCTTTGTAAATGGCATTACCGGGGTCATAACCGTGCCCCATTAAACGTGAACACCCAACCCCCGCCGGCTCGTGCCGCGAAAAATTCGTCGAGCTTGCAACACTTGCTTTTGTTTCTTCATAGCTTGCGAAACCGAGGTCGCCGAGAAATGAGCCTATACGGATGCGGCGATAATAGGTAACAATAATACCTCGATAATAACGGGTATCAGGTACGCACCGAACGCGGACAATCATTTTGCATTATACACCACGCGATTACGTTGTGCACGCAACGCCGTTTGTCAATAACTTGCTCCGAGCGGGATCAACAAACGGCTATGGGCGCTAATCCCTGTAGCTCGTTAAATACTCAAAAATACAGTGCGCGTTCCCTAAATCGCTCCCCGTGGGAGCGGACGAACGAATGCTAAGCCGAAAATACGCAAACTGTGACGAATCTTCGACCTTAGAGCCAATATTCATTACTATTTTTGCCTTTTGAATTGCGCGTTGATACGGATAACATTTTGAACTTGCAAACGTTACGATGGAAGTTACTAAATTGTACTAGTATTGTAATATTTATAGGTTCTATAGATTGCTCCAAAGCAAGGGGTTAAAACGCAAGACAGAGTAATAAATATTATTAGGTCGTCCCATAAGTTCGTGCTGATGATCGAAATTGTATCGAAATTTAGTAAAAAAAAAACCGCAGAAATTTTCTAGTAACGGTATAATGACTATGTGAGAGAGGTGAGAAACTATTGTGAAACGAGACAGATTATCTTTTCTTGTGACACTTGAGAGTATGTTTCACATATTAATTTGAGAAATAGAAGTATAAATGGCACGAACTTTTAGGACGACCTAATATATACTAGGTAGGACCCATGGTTTCATCCGTGCGGAATACTATTCTTCATATTTATATCTCAAATGATTATATAACGTCTATTACAAATTTAGTATAGGTACATCTGTATCTTTATGTACAAAATAACTGAGATAAATTTTGTCTAGATTGAAGCTTCTATGCATCTTAGAAAGGTGATTGAAAATCTGTCACTGGTAATAGAGTTCAACGAATCAATACAAGTTTGACTAGTGTGAACGAAAATAGACGATGAAAGATCTCTAAATAACGAGCTACATTTTTCATTGGAAATATATGGCAAACGAAGGCGATGAAATTGAATTACATTTACCTACTCGTAAGAACGGAACTCCTCGTTTAAATTCTTTGCCCTTTCAGCGTTCCAGTTAATTTTATTTTGCAATTAAATCTGTAGAACGTACTCATTCGTACGATTCAATGTTGAATCAATTGTTTTGCTCTTTCTTTGGAAAATGCAACCGATTAAGTCGAGTAAAGAGGAAGTCCGTGCGCGAAATTTCTGCGAATACGAGAGGTGTTGGGAAGCAGCGAGTTTTCATTACTATTATACGAAACTTAACAGTTTGGCGCGAGGGCAGCTCGCTGTGGTATCGATTGCGACCTATATAAAAGATTACTACCCTCCTCGTTCCTGGGAATATCGGTTCCAACTGTTTTCGGCATTCTTTTCGTACGCTGCACGAGTCCCTCGGCAGCGACCATGTCGCCGTTCGATCCCTAAGTCGTTCTACTTTTTCTTTTCTACTCTAGAACCTCCACTATCCGAACTAACAAGAAAACATTCGTTCAACGAGCGCGAATTAAAAGCCTGTCCTCGACACGATCCACATTCTTAATACGCAACAATTTCGAACGATCTATTTTACCGTAGTTATACATACATATTTTACTGTACGTTTCCTTTGAACATCATTCATCGAGCTGTAAGACTAACTCCAATCATTTTTATATTCCATAAGAACGCACTCTAACTCGACGAAGATCATACAATTCAAAAAACTTAAAATTGCATGTATTAGGTTGTCCGGAATGTTCGTGCCAATTTTTAAGAAACATTTAAAGACACGTTTGAATTTTGATATGTATTTATTGAATTATATATGTATCATTCTGTTCCACAATTTTTCCACCTTTTAAGGGGATGTACGCATGTTATTTGTTTTCAACCATTCCGATATATTCAGATCTGTACCGCCTATTAAAAATCGGCATGGACTTTCCAGACAACCCAATACGATCAAAATCGTAGACGAACGATGAACAACTACCAAGTACAAAGAAACCTATTTCTACGGTGCAAAGTAATTTCGATAGTGCTGTTAAAAATATTCGATAAAACACGTGCGATCTCTCAATATTTTTGCGTACCGCAAATAGGAAGGTAAACCTGTAAATGCAAATTGACTTGCGAAGAGTTAATTTGGTCCTACAGGACCCAATTATGTGCCAGAACAATCGCGTAACGAAGGTTCGCGTAATGGAATTGAAAATTAAAATTTCCATCAGGCACACCTGGTCCGTGGATACCGCGAAAAAATGTTTCGCGAGCAAATACCACCCTGGACGGAAATCGACGTTCACTCGATTCTCGATGCGTGCTGAAATGTTTATCCCGGAGATCCACGGAACGAAATCAACCCGAGCAATTGACCCCGAAGAATACTGAATTATGCACGACCTTTGGCGTGTTCGCGGGGTTGTTTCAGCAACGAGGCGGGGGGTAATACAGTCTTTCCTTCTTCCCCTCCGGGTTTCCAACTCTACGTTCGCCCTTTGTAACAGATGAGGCGAGCGCGAATTAAAAGCCAGCTCGATAACATACATATCTGGCACGAAAGGCAGACGCCACTCGACCAGTGTCGCTGCAGCCTCCGTGCGAATCAGAATACTCCAATGAACCCGAATAAAGGGAATTAAATTAACGGGGCGAAGCCGCAACTCTTTAAAATGCTCCGACCTCTCGCGCAGTGGCGGATCCAGATTTATCGGGGCACCCGAAGCTAATTACTCCGAAGAGTACTCCCTTTTATTTATTTTCATTGTGAAATTATTTTACTCGTCGTGCTAAAAGCGGAAACATGACGTTCGTGGATAATTGGAAGATGATTTCATAGGCCTGAGCTGGCTATTAATTATTTTACGAATGGAGTCTGTTTCGTAACTATCTTCAGATATTTATAAATTTATTTATAGTGCAAAACCAGAGGTACTAATTCGATCATTGAAACGTCCTATTCGAGACATTTAATTTATTAATTATGCTTGGAGATGTGTTTTAAAAAGACATACGGTTTATCACGAAATAGTCAGATTTCGTGATAAATCGTATTTTCAAGAAAATAAAAGTGTCTAAGATCTCATTTTTCTCGAATTAGAAATCAAAGACTAATGTTTTTCTTGGCTCGAGTATATTACTTGATTTTATTACTCATCTATTTTTCGAATCTTTGCCTCTACCCTGTCCAGAAACGAACCATTTAATAAAATATTTAATGAAATACGGATGTTATCAGTATGAACAACAAGAAAATAAAAGTGTACGATCTTATTTTTCTCGAATTAGAAATCAAAGACTAATGTTTTTTTTTTGGCTCGAGTATATTACTTGATTTTATTACTCATCTATTTTTCGAATCTTTGCCTCTACCCTGTCCAGAAACTAACCATTTAATAAAATATTTGATGAAATACGGATGTTATCAGTATGAACACATATTTGTCCTATTAATTTTCTCCTTGATACATGATTGATCGAGAAGCTTTGTGCCGAAATTGCATCTCCACGCTCGTTTTATTACGCATTTTATACGACGAACCTTTGAATAAAATCGACTTAATTATATTTAACAAAAGCCTTGGACCATTTTTATGTTACCTAAAAGGACACGCTTTGTAACATTTTTCGAATCGAATTAAATTTGTTTTCAAAGAATAGTTTTCATGCTGCGTTGATTGCTCAAAATTGTTTAATTTCGAGTAATTTTGCTTCGTGGTACATCCCCTTTAAAATGAAAATGAGTTTTGCAGATGCAATTAAACTCTATCGCCTTTAATTGATAGTAAACAATTAGTCTCCTAACGAAAGCAAGTTGAAATAAACGTTTCATTTCAGTTTCAATATTCGAAATAAAAAACTCGAAGTAGCATTGGAAAGGGAAGAAAATTTTTGTCCATGCTTCTGTTTCGATAATTTGGTTCGATACAGCAAATAAATATTCGTTGAATTACCTATAATCTTCGATAGACGTAGCAACTCGAAGATTTGAAAATTGAGCCGATTTTACACAGATTAAAAAATTGACACTGCGAACCACGGACACGAAAATCGACGATTTTGCATCGACGAGAACGACCGTAATGGCGACAAAGTCATTTGCCGTCAACAAAAGGATAAGCCGTGCTGAATATCGTGTACTGCAGAAGCTACCGAACCGGATTCTATTTATCGTAATTAGAACCTCGATTCCTACAATTCCTTCCCAATATTCGCGGTACGTGACGTAACATTCAGGGTATGACCCTGTAAATGTCGTATTTCGTACACAAAGTTAACCGATATCATGTATAAATTGATTCGCGTTTGCCGTCTTCGAGGAGAAAACACGAATCGCCCATTACGAAAAAAAATTAAACGCGAAAACGGAAATGCGGACGAATACATCGCACCTATAGATTACATGATGTAATAACCCAGGAAGTTGGAGTTCAAATATTAATTTTAAAACGATACATTCGAGATACATTCAGAGTACGTGTATCCTGAAATATTAATAGTCTCGACAAATCGTTAACCCTTCCGAATGCGCCCACTGTCGATACACGTATCAGACAGAACCATTTTGACAGTTCCAGACAACCCTTGCAGACTGCATCGATCACTACCAATCGCGTTAGAACAGCAAAAGAAGATTCCATGTAACAACTGTTTCGAGTCTACGTTAACCTCGTTCGGAGTCACTGGGACATTGTAACATTGTCGCATGAGTAGTACTTTACGTAAGTAGCGGGACAGTTATCGATCTAATCTCAAAAATGCAGAGACGATTGTACCAAAAGTTTCAACGCGACGCACGTATGCGCAAAAAGATCGAGCAACCGTGCATCGATTGACCATGAACCGTGAATCTCCGGTTGAAACACCCGCTCCCGTTTGACAGGCGAGAAACATCACCGTTGAAACGCAATACGTGCATACATACGTTCGATGGTTACGTGCAAGCGAAAAAGAGAGTGCCAGTATCGTGGACAAGAATATCCCGAAATAGGAAAAGTTGAAACCTTTCGTTTTAAAAAGCTTGCGTCAAACGAGTTAGGGTGTTCGATGTTCTATTAAGATCCGTATAGGTTAACATTGTGGTACTCACCTATCTTTCCTTTCCCCGTCGACTTCTCCCTCGACTCCCTCGGGCGATGTAACTTTTTTCTCCGCCGGCATTTCCGTGGTACCGTCCTCGGCCTTCTTGCCCATCCACGTCGACATCTGATTCGTAAGTCCGGTGAACATTTTCAACGATGCGTCAAAAGCTTCGACACTCGAATGTGCGTGATAGACTATGTCTCGGTCTTCCTCTTCCGATCTTCTACGGCAGCAGGAACGTTACTGATACCCTTACGGGATCGGAATGACGGCAAAGCCAGTTCGTTTTGATAACCGCGCAACCATGAACTGCGCGGTTGCTACATTCGATGGCGCGTGTCGTGCTGCGCCGTGACAACGCCTACTAAACCAGACGACAGAGGGCTACTAGCGCGATCGTTCTCCGTCTCGAGCCATTTTTACCAACGTCCCTGCAGCTATTCGACCAATCAGAAGGCAAGCTTTATGGAAACGTAACAACATAATTCGTGGAAGGATTAGATTATTCTGTTTCAATGTGCAGTATTGGACGTAATAAAATAGATTATACAAATATTTGGTGCACCCAGAACCTTAGTTAATTTTTGTATTAGTATAGGCTTATAAGCTGTGTGGCAAGTGCGATTGCAACCAAGCGGACGAAGACATCGACCATGTAATATTTGATTGCGGCTTGTACAACCAAGAGAGAAGCTTAATATGGGAGAAACTGAAAAAGGAAATAGAATTAGTAGGAAAATCGGCGATAGAGCTAATAAAACTCAATAAAATCAAAATCATGAAGACCATAGTTAAGTTTTTCAAGTCTTTAAAAGAATAGAGTAATAAGAAAAATGCCAAAATAGCACTTAAAACTAAATAACCGGGATTTATGTGCAGGGTATTAATAGGTCATGGAGAAGTTCCAAAGTAGGAAGAAACAAATGGTACAAAGTTAAACGTTATTAGTTAGATTTAGATACGTAAGCAAAGAGAGATACTATAGAGATAATCAAAAGGCTGTTAAAAAAAAAAAGTACGTTAGGAAACTAACAATAAATTAAGATACTTTTATTTTATTTTATTGTATTCATATTGTATTTTTGTTAAATATTTATATTTTTGTATATTATAATAGTAACAGAAGTCCAAAAGTCTGAAATATATGTATAAGAACACACAGAAGTATTAAATAAAAAGACCGAACCAAGGCGAATAAAACAAAGTTAAGTCAAATGGTAGCAAATCCTTAGCCTATCTACAAATATTAAAAGAGATTGGTGCGTCAAGCTAGGAAAACCTAGTACAAATAATGTGATAAACTACAATAAGTACATATATTCAGACGGTGCTCACACCGTTGCTCACAAATATAGATCGAAAGTTTAATATACATACCTCTAGAATAAGGAAAGTATAAGTAGGTTAAGTTACAAATAATATGTAATTCCTAACATATAATATTTTGTAAACTAGTTATAAGGAAACGCTTATTTTGTGATTATCAATGTAAGACAGTGAAATGTAGAAGATATCTACGCACTTTAAAAATAAAAATAAAATAATTGTATTAGTGGCGCCATCCGTGAGAAAACGCTCAAGTTTGTAGTAAAAAATAGTTCTCACCATTTCCATAAGAAGAACGACGAATACCTCCTAATCAATTATACTTTATTTTTCATAAATGCATAATCAATACGATTTTTTCCTTTATAACACTGCAATATAGTGTTGCTATGTTAAATCAATAATTTTTATGAACAATTATTTAATCCAGCAATAGTTATCAACCTTTTTCCTTAGTCGCGCCATCTGGCAACAATAGTGGGAACTATTTTCACTACAAACTTGGACGTTTTACCACCGATGGCGCCACTAATTAAATTAGTCGCTATCTAGCAGCCACTGGGAGAACTATTTTTTGCTACAAACTTAGCCGTTCCCTGGTAGATGGAGCCACATGCACTTTTATAATTTCCATAATGGCTCCATCTAACGAGATAAAAAGGAACTAATTGAGGACAAACTTGGGTGTTTTCCCGATAGAGGCGCTGACGATACTCCGAAATTAGTTCGGACCCTTCACCGCTAGATGGCGCTGCGTTTCTAAAAAAAAAAAAAAATATATATATATATATATATATATGTTGAGTTTAATTTGATTTTATACGACACGAGACTTCAAATAGTTTTACAGGAATAAAAGTGAGGGCAAAGGTAATAATATTATTTTACTCACTTTATAGAAAAATATATTACTTTATTAAATCTATACAAGGCAGTTATAATATTATCGAACTCAGTATGCGATTTGTACATTTCCCACTTCTTCGACTTCTTCAGCATCAGTGTTGCGAATCGTTACAACGAGCAGTGTAAGTTATTACTTCGAGGTAGATTTGAACATGAACAAATGTACCTAAGTCTAATATGTTATACCTACAGACTGGTGTACTATCATTGGTGTCTTGGTTTATAATATATATATGGCATTAGATGTTGTACTGAATTTTTGGAGTCATACTATATATTTTGTCGATATTTGTACTTATTCTATTTAGAATTTATACATTGCTAGTTGGATTAAAGGTACGAATAGCACCTTACGTTCGATATCACAGTTTGGCACGAACATTTTGCTAGTTTTAGAGATTGCAGTTTCCTTAATGATAAGGTTTTGATTTTGATGCATTATATTTCCAAATTATGTGTGTTAAGCTTCTTAGATATTAGGGTGCTACTGTTGGTGTTTCATGATTCCTGAGTGTCAATGAACTATTTATGGTGTTTCAGGTTTTCTGAGTATCGGTGTTCTAGTTCTGTGGTGTCTTCAGTTTCCTGAGTTTTGGTGTGAGAATTTTTACTAACTATTACATTCATATTTTCTATATTCCTAATTTACAATTGCTTATTTTTTTTTTTATATTTATGTTATTGCTGGTTTGTAGGGTTTTTGTGATTGCTTGCTTTTAGAATTTTTATGATTGCTTATTTTTTGGTGTTTTTGTGATTACTTGTTTTTAGTGTATTGATGATTGTTTTAACATTCGATGTATTTGGTTGTATGGCGATGTGTACGTGTACTTGAATCTAAATATTTACAATTTTCACTACTTGAAACTTTCAAAACCACTGAGAGTTGATGTCCAATAAATACTATGAATTTGTGTTGTTCTCATTTAAGCGTGAATTCTTTTTTATTAAACATTACGCAATGGTTGAAAGTCGCTCGCCCTGCAAGCTTGTCCTATTCTAATTATTCTAATTATCTATATTAAGTATTTGTCTAGGAATGTGTATTACTCGAATATATTCACTATTTCCTCTCCATCGATATTGCTGCTTCCGCTGGGTGTTCACGTTGATACCTTAAAAATAAAAATTATTATTAAAATGAATTTTTGGCCAATATTATTAAGATGCAGTATTTTTTCACGGAGACAGAACCATTTTCTATCTTTTACAAAACAATTTCAATGTACATTGTAGCGAATTCAATTGCCACAGTTTAGCACGATACATTTCTTATCAGATGTACAAAGAAAATATCGTTCGTCTAGTAAAACGAAGCTTCATTTGCATGTTTTACGTAATAGTAATGACAGAAGCTTGCGGTAACGTGATCAGTGCATGCGAATGAACGCATGTAAAATGTAAATGGAAAAACATTTTTTCTGTGGGGTCATGTAAAAAGCAAAGTCACATTGCACCGTGGGGAATAATCATCGATGCATCGATTACGAAACGGTCGTGATATAAACGGTCGTCACATCGAACACCCTCCGTAAATAAAGCTCCGATAGTAGCCATATTTTCTTTCATGTCCTTCGTACCTTCATGTACGCGTAACGCTCAACCAACAAATAAAAACTGTTGAAAAGATAAAATTATACTGTCCACATTAATCAGTCATATTTTATTACCGATCGTTTATTAACGTTAAACCTGTTAAAATTTATACACGTACAATGAGTGTAGAAAGTATTCGTACACCGATCAATTTCCAAACAAACTATGCGAAATTGTAATTTATTAACTTGTTTTTTATAAACAATGGTATTCTACATATTCTCGGAACTCTAGAATAGGTAGATTACAAAAGAAAGTTATTTATGTAAGTTACGAAATTAACAAAAAGAAAAACAATTAATCGATAGAAATATCGAAGCAACAAGTATTCGGACAACTGTTTAATTTTTAAAACTTCATTAAAAAAAAAAAAAGAAATTTACATTAATTTACAAGTATATGATACTTCCTTCGTGGGATTTCGTATTGATTTTATAATTATTGTAACCCTTCTAAGCATTAAATCAGCTAAATTATTAGTTATTCGAAGTGGGATCTTCTTCAATTCCGCTATTAGAGCCATTTTTAAAAGTACTTTACTGGAAATTTGATGTTTTCTAATTCGTACGGAGCAATAAATTAATGTGTTCACGTTACAAACTCTATTGTAAATGGTTCGTCATAAAAATCGTACAAATACTTGTTGCTTCTATACTTTTACCCACTTTTCGCATTTTTGTTGTTAATTTCACAAATTATATCAACTAGAAAATGTTGTTTGGACTATATCTATCTTAGAGACTTCCGAGAATATGTAAAATATCGTTGATTAGAAAAAAAGAAGTTAAGAAACTACAATTTCACAGAAAAGTTTTTTGGGAAATTGCTCGGTGTACGAATACATTCTACACCCACTATATAACCAATACAAAAACTACGACGATTAAATTTAACACAATGTGCGCCAAATTGTTATAAGATTATGTTTTAAACCGTTGAGACGTATATAACAGATTTTCGATAATTCCGTCTTACGGCCTCTTCTGAACTATTGAACTTTTATTTGACCCAGTTTAATCTAGAGAATAATAGAGAGAATAATATCGCTGGAAATTGTCGCAGTGATTCCAAGCGTCTTTAAATATTCCGATATCGTCCGGACCAAGTTATTTAAAAGGAAATAACATAATTCGAAATGCATTCCCACGTCGCGCCATCGCGTTTGTTATAAATAATTCATCGTGCACAAAGCGAACCAGTAGAGATTCGAGTGTTCAATATTTTGATCCGCGGCCTTCTTCATAAATAATCCTACATTATGTAACGTCGAGCTCTTATCATTGCGAGGGACGCAAAAATAGTTTTATCACTGAAATTAATTACTAGCGAAATACGCGAAGCATAACGCTACGCAATTCGTCTTGGGTAGATAAAAGTGAACGACGCTTCGAACTTAGATCAATTAGATACGTGAGACATAAAAAATACTACAAAATTCTAAATTTTGTTTTAATAATAAATTAATTATACATTTTATTATGGATTTGATCCAAGAAAAAATACTCGTCGCATACTTTTACGTATACAACCTAGTTAAATTGTAATATTTTGTTGCTTTGAAGACGACTCAAATCGAAAAAGTCGAAACGTGGTAATTGCAAGCGTTGGTTCGTAATATCGTCAATTTAGATTGTACATTCGTGCGCAATTATTACAATATTCTATTCGTGAAGCATGTACTTACTTTAATGCTCTAGTAACTTGGTAGATAGATGTTATTGCGACGAAGAGGTTTACGCTAAAAAGGCTCCAGTTTTTCGGTGTAATTGCTAAGGAATACCTAGTCCAAATTACACCCGTAACGGCCAAGGCAGATGATTGGCTAACGGAGAGTTGATTTGCTGGCCTCTGCAGATCACCGAGGCCAGCTATTACAAGCCCCTGTAAATTGCAAAGTGCGTTTCAACGAGATAAAGATTGGCGAATAGTAAATGGTTACAGTAGACAATAGGAAACTATATTCTTGGATAGGTGACGAAGAAATGAAAGGGCCAGCGATATGGGTCAAATTGCGAGTATTTACTTTAAGATTGACCTATTTCCAGCTAGATCGACCACAACTTGTTAAAGCATGCGCGCGCGCACATATGATTTTCCGCTGGGAAATTCGTTCATTGAATCCAACATGGTTTGAGCTACTGTTCAAACGGGCATTGATACGATAAAGGATTCCTTCTTTAATTTCACAGAAGAAATATTTTTAATTTTCATTTATTTTCATAACTGGAAGGGTAATAGTAAATACAAGTTGTTTAATCGATATATATATATCGGTGTATTATATTAATAATTTCTTAATTTATGATGTACACAGTCGAACTCATAATTATTCGTACCCTCAATGTCCACTAAAGTAACTTAATCTACGTATGTACATGTATATATTTATAATGGAAAAATTATAATAAGTATGAACAGACGTGCTCACCCACTTTACTTGATTAAACAACTTGTATATATATATATATATATAAAATTATTCGTTACAGAAGAAATATTTTTAATTTTTATTTATTTTCATAACTGGAAGGGTAATAGTAAATACAAGTTGTTTAATCGAGTAAAGTGGGTGAGCACGTCTGTTCATACTTATTATAATTTTTCCATTATAAATATATATATATAATTATTCGTATTATATATATAATATAATATATAATTATATATATAATACGAATAATTATGAGCTCGACAGTATACATGATAAATGAAGAAATTATTAATATAATACACCTTGTAAATCACTTTCTATCCAATAATAATTATATATATCAAGTTTTCAATTTACAATACACACTGTAATAGACAAGAACAGATTTTCTAGATTTGATTAGATTACATACTCGTATTTATTATCGTATTTCTCGTTAGAAAACTAAACGAAGCTTGAAAATACTTGTGATATTTGCAGAAGGCCAGTGACTATGAAATATAAATTCTTTTGCCGACTAGCTTTCCTAATTTTTCATTCGGAACATTTTCGTGCAGGATAACATAAATCGATTTAACGTAACAACGTGATATTGATTTTTTGCGTCCAGTCACGGAAGGAAAAAACCGTTACGGAATTATCAAAGGTGATCGTTAGAACGGCGTTAGTCGTTTGTTTCGCAAGAACCGCCACGGCACGTGTCAATGTCGCATTTGGACCAGGTCCATTTGCATGCGGATACTGCCTCCTCATAGTTGAGAAATATTTCTGTAACGTGTTTATTTGCCAGCGACGTTAGAGAACCGCGCGTTGGACTACCTTGGAATAAAATTGATTCGGTTATTGCAGTCACCGGTTATATAGAACGGATAAATCTTATCGAAGAAACGTGCCGCGGCTCCTGTGATTATTCCGAACAGTGTCGTTATTGCGAAAATGTATATCGAGTACATGACATTCAGGAAGACGTTAAAACGACAAAATGATTACTGACCCATTTAAAAGCTGGTGCCCAGAAGAATATAGTCTGCGGACCTGAAAGGGGAAAATAGGTCGACACTGCTATTACGTTCCTCGTTTTGACAATCTCGATATATAATATTCTTGACAGTATCGAAAACGTGACGAAGATACGAGCTGCGTGAATGTTTCGAATTCACGCAAAGATTAGAATGCTATTTCGGAACGCCGTGTATTTTGCAAGAAGCGTGTACGCGTAATCGAATGGCAAGTGCTTGGTGGAATCGATAAAATTATTAAATTAAGCTCAGATTCGTTGAATCGAAACAGTTTGGTTTACATAATTCTCAGTGGCCACTGTACGTCTTCTAATTTATTCAAAAATAATTTCTAACTCTTATCTCTCCGCACATTTTATATTCGTATATATTAACATCGTCAGTGATAACCGAGGTTAATTTAACCCGAGTCGAAAACCTCCCCGTATCGCCACGGAAGTTGTAAATAAACCTTTGTGCTTCGATCGGTCGATATAAATATTTAATCGTGTCAGTCGCTCGGATTACACTCGATAATTGCAAATTTCTAACTTCGAAAATGCTGCGTAGCCTGTGGTAAAAATCGAGTTCCATTGATAGAGCATGGACGCGTTATCTTCTATGAGACCTTGAACCAGACATTACTACGATATAGAGCAACGTGTCACGAGATGACATTCATTTACGTACACAACGCGACGTTCTAACACGAGCGAGGGCAACATAGTCGATGCCTGGAATTCGTACGACGTCGCGGGAAGTGGTTTTTATGCTAATCTGTCTAAATGCACGTTGTACAGTGGTACGAGCGCATATGATTCCGGCACGTGGTGTGGTCCGATAAATCTAGCGAATCAGTGACAACTTACTAACCAGCTGGGTGATTCCACAGTGGCTGGAACTTCTCGGGCACGCACTTGCCAATCGTTTGAACCGATTTCTTATATATAGCCGACATTGTTTTTTCACGCGTTCACGCGTTTGTTACGCCGTATTGAGAAGAAAATTTGGAAAAAAAAGTAAAAAAAAAAAAGATAGGTTGAACGTTTCGAAGATCTGCCGTGGAAACGAGTGAACGTGGAAACGACAAACGGGTACAACGATCCGCACACTGAGACTGAATATCGCGAAGTGCAACGATTGGTAGCCGTGCTGCCCGCACGGGTAGTCCGTCCTTTCCTTTCCCCGCTCTGATTTCCGGGACCTAAAGCGCTACGCTTCTATGTGTACACGCTTGAGCTTGTATTTGTTGCTCTGCGCATCCCCACATTTCCACACCACGTTAGATTATTCCGGTCTCATCAAACAGACGCTTTTCCATTGATTGGTGTCGATGGATAATTGTAATTCACTAGGGTGACCCATGGGTTCTTTTCTAGTACTTTTTCCCCTATGACTTTCTTCATTTACTTGATTTTATTCGTAGCGATACCTTTCGAAAGTTTTGAAGTCCTTTTTTACTTTCTGTTTTTAATTAATTACTTGCATGTTGTCTTAACAAGTGTCTGAAAGAATCATGGCAATTACTTTGAGCAAAATTGGGAATGAATGGACTGGCTCAGTTAGTGTAGTTCAAAAAAGAGATAAAAAACTACTATACAGGGTGTCCCAAAACTCGGGGAGGAGCCGGAAATGGGGGGTA